ACTTTTATCTGACGGTATATTAAAAAAAATTACATTGAAATTCTGGTATAAGAATGTCCTTTCATATAATGTTGAAAAATTGAAAACAAATAAGCAACAGAAGGGAATTAGGTGATTTCTGGTCTAGTCATGGTATGTGAGGGAGTGAAGCATGATGGTTAAGACCATGGGATCTTGTTGAGGGCCACAGCCGAGTTGGGATGACACATGGCATTTTTGCCAGAAGTAGTGGTTGAGAGGTGATGCTAGCGCGCCATTAAGATGATGATTTTTGAGTTCTGGAGGAGTTCCCGTTGAGTTCCGCTTGAGCTCTCGCGGGGATTCCCGGAGAGTTCCCATTGGTTGGGGAAGTGCCGGAGGAGGGATTTCTCGTTGCTGGTTCCTGGAGAGGCTGCGTGGCGTTCGGGGGAATTCCCGGGAGCGTGTGTGGAGAGTGCTGGTGGAGTTCAGAAATAAAGTTTGTTCCTGCTTCAGTGGCTCATGATTTGTGCCCAGCCAGACTGCGGCAGGATCTCAAGTCCCACTGCCAGGTTCAATCTCAGCTGTTTGTATTACTAGCCTTGGGTCTTCAGCTACTTTCCTAACCTAAATATTAGTTCCTTCAGCTGTGAACTGAAAAAAGTAATAATACCTACTTTATAGAACTGCAAGGATCAAATAGGATAATGCATTTAAATCTCTTAGTACAGGGCTGGGTTTTGGCCCAGTGGTAGAGTGCTTGTCTAGCATGTGTGAGGCACTGGGTTTGATCTTCAGCACCATAAGAAACTAAATAAATAAAATCAAGGTATTTTTTTAAAAAAAAAATCTTTAAAAAAAATCTCTTAGTACAATGCCCCAAACTAAGTGCAATGCAGATGTCACCTATCTGAGAAATCATGATGACAGGGATGCAGAATTTTTTTAAAAAAATCAATGGATATTTTTTAAAGAGAGAGAGAATGAGAATGAGAGAGAATTTTTAATATTTATCTTTTTTTAGTTCTCGGCGAACACAACATCTTTGTTTGTATGTGGTACTGAGGATTGAACCCAGGAGGCATGCATGCCAGGCGAGCGCGCTACCGCTTGAGCCACATCCCCAGCCCAAATCAATGGATTTTTATCAGCAGAACTTAACATGTTCTATTAATATCAGAGGGGTCCCTCTCATGTCCCATTTCAGGCACAAAATGTCCCTCAATAGTAACTGCTGCATAATCTACTAACAACATAGATAAATTTGTCTGACTTTTATTTTATTTCTATTAAATGGAATTGTTAAAAAAGGAAAATAGAGATGCTCAAATTACAATGTTATCCGAAAAGTCAGGATTCAAACTATAAAGTCTGACTTTGATTTTGTGTTAAAAAATAAATAGAAAAATAATAGAAGACATCAGAAAAAGATTATGGTTCAGAATAGTTGGCTTATAAACAGACAGACTTAGATTTGAAAACTGATTTTATAAATAGTGCAACCTTGTTCAAGTAACTTACCTTTTCTGGGTCTTGGTTTCCTAATCTAATGAGTAGAAATAATTGATAGAGTTGTCAGGACAATGAAACTGAGCCTGTAGATGTACAATATTTGCCTGACATACAATAGCTGCTACATTTATTTTATTTATTTATTTTTATGTGGTGCTGAGGATCGAACCCAGGGCATCGCGTATGCTAGGCAAGCACTCTACCACTGAGCCACAACCCCAGCCCCAAGACTATAAATCTTGACAATCATTCTTTCACCTGGATAAACCTGATTTTATAATTTAATGGGTAATGGGTAAAAACTTCTAAAGAATAAAACTTGTCCATAGACTGGTGGACTAAGGCAAGCCTAATTGATTATTGTTGCTTACAATGATTAATAAATTAGATTTTTAGCATGGAAAATTGTTATCAAAAAATAAAGGAAGGGCTGGGGTTGTAGCTCAGTGGTAGAGCACTTGCCTGGCATGTGTGAGTCACTAGATTCAATTCTCAGCACCACATATAAATAAGTAAATAAAATAACTATATATTTAAAAAGTAAAGGAAAAGCCAAATTAATAAAGAAACAAAACCAGGCTTTTCATTGCTTGCTATTGGCCACACCGAAAGAGGATCTCATGATTAATCCAATCCTGCATTACAGAAATCTGTATTGAGGTCCTGGAACTTGTAGGCACTGAGGACACCACAAGGAAGAATATTCTACCTGCAAGGAGCTCACAGTCTAGAAGGAGGCACATTGATGGCAACAGATAAATTCCAGTCCAGTGTGGTGGTGTTGAGGAAGCTCAAAGAACAGAGCAACTGCTTTAAGGGAGTTTGGGGAGGCTCTGCTAAGGACAGGCATTTGAGCTAGATTCTGAATTCTTTAGCTAGAAGGGCATAGGAGGGCTGTTTTTAATAGATGGAATAACTTACAGAGAAGATAGACCTGGTAAATAATGTAAATAAACCATGTGCTATAATGTTTGCAATGGCACTATTGTTTCTTTACAGATTGCCTTTTTTAAAGTTCTAACTTATCCATTGGGTTATTAAATGGTCTCAGTATAATGACACTTTTTAAGAAATATTGCCGCAGTCTGGCTGGGCACAAATCACGAGCCACTGAAGCAGGAACAAACTTTATTTCTGAACTCCACCAGCACACTCCACACACGGGCCCAGGCGGACAGTAGGGGTCTAATACACACAGCTTAACATAACCATTATCATCTCAATGGCTTGCTGGCATCACCTCTCAAACCACTCCGTTCTGGCAAAAATGCCATGCATCATTCGGACTTGGCTATGGCTCTCAGCAAAATATCTTTATTTTTTTTATTTATTTTTATGTGTTGCTGAGGATTGAACCCAGTGCTTCACATGTGGGAGGCAAGCACTCTGCCACTGAGCCACAACTCCAGCCCACTTTTTTTTTTTCTAAAACACAAAGACCTCAGCATTGACACCCCAGATCAGTGTTTTAGGAGCCCTCACACTAGAAGAAATGAGATAAATCCACAAAGCATCCTCATTGGGTAGAACTTCTAAACTCTTAGAGGTAGAGAAAAGAATGACAGGAAGAGAAAAGTCCATATTCATTCCAAAAAAAAATTTTTATTCACCTCTATGTTAATTTCATTTCTAATTTTTACAAATACTTTCTGCGGTTTGCAGAATATTTGGCAGCAACTTTCCCCAACTATGATTTCAGTAAATATGGAAAAGATTGGAAAAATTGTCTTTCTGATATCAGTTCTCTGATCCATTATTTGTATTCTGAACTTCAGTAAGTAATTTTTCATCTAAATATGGTGACTGCTACGTAAGTTCATGCTGTATACAACTCCAGAACTGATAGCACTATGCACAGGGTCTTCAGGCCATGTGTTAGACATCTTGTTTACTTCATTTAGCGAGCAGGAGATGTTCTTCCAAAAGCATACTGCCTGTTTATTTTGTTATTTGATATTTATATGCCATAAAATAACTTAAAGATAAGTGTAATGTTATAATTAGGACATTTGAAGCTAAGGGCTATACTAAAAAAAAGTTTCAGCTACAAAAATGTTTAGCAAATCATTTTCAGTATCTCACTGAGTAACAAAGAAAAGCCAGCTGTGTGTTTCTTGGATATTTCAGTGGTGGCTAAGGATTGCACAGGAGAAAATGCAGGCCCTTCCTTAATTGTTCATTTCCAGGAATGGAGTACCCCAGTGAAAATAATTCATGTCATGAGGTTAAAGTATCACAGATATTTAATACCCTGTATACTTATATAGTAACAGGAACCTGGTTTCTTTCTCATCCATTCTGTCTTCAAAGTCCATTAGAGATTTATTTTTACCCTAAATGGGCCATTAGAGAAGAGTGTCATATCTATTGACTTTTCCTGATGAAGCATTTAACTTAGTGACAATTCCTAATTTCCACCAACCTCTCTGAAATACCTACTTTATTCTTACCATGTTTACAGTCACTTCTGTCCCTCTAGTGTAAGTTGATGGAAACTGTTTTCCAAGAATATTTGTAGCTGAGCTTATGTTTTCCTGGTAAACGGCTTGATTTCAGTGATAGCTCAAGCACCATCTGTCTGAAACCAGATCTGCTTATTTTTAACATTCCATTTTATAGCCTTCAAAAACTGCACCCTAACAAATTTGCATATAAAATTAAGATACTGCCTGGAAAATGGTAATTTGCATATTTGCTTAGGCATCAGAAGAGAATCAGCATCTGCCAGGTGCCTGCTGTATGCTAGACAAGAGACCAGATAGGTCCTTGCCTCTCAATGTGGGTCCACAGCCCAACAGCAGCAGCAATGGTCCTAGACAACTTGTAAAAAGTGTGGGCTTGGGTTCTACATCATATTCACTGAGGCAGAATTTGTATTTTAGTATGATAACCACCCCCATGCGATTTGTGAGCATACTGAAGTTTGAGAAACTTTAACCTAAGCAGTAGTTCCTGCCCCTGGTGTGTATTAGAAACACAGGAGACACTTTTAAAAAATGTTTCTCATGTCTGAGCTCCCCTTGCCTACCACCAGAGATTCTGGTTTAATTTGTCAAGGGTCAGACCCAGCACATTTGCTTTTTGAGAAAAGATCCCTAGGGTAATTCAGATGTACAGCCAGATTTGAAAGCTACCAGGGAAAGAGAAAACAAAGCATTAAAAGCACCCCCCCACCAAAAACCAAACCAAAACAACAACAAAAAGAAAAAAGCCCCAAAGTGGTCATCCCTAAGAAGCACATTTACTTGTTAATTTATGGAATAAATAATATCTCATATTTATTTTGTGCCAGCAGTTATTGTTCATTCCATTAGACAGAGCTAACAAGTCCCCTGAGAACAGAGAGTTATGGGAGAATCAAATCAAGGGAGAATCCACACCTCAGTTTCCTTTCAGATAGTATTGAGGCACACAGTATTCATATGGTGTCAGCCCACCTTTTTAGAGGTAGTTGCTTCCCTATTAACCTAGGGGGCCTGGTAGAAGTTGGCAGATGTACATATTTCTTACTTGTGGGACTTGGTTTATAGATACCAAAACTATAGACAAAAATAAAGACCCTGCCAACCCCAATATACCAGCGTCTGCAAACTTGAATGATGGAAGGAATGGTGATGGTGGCAAGGGCAGTTCTCAGTTGCTTCGGCAGATAACTGCCTCAGAAACAAGAGATAATGGGAATTCTGAGCAGAACAGTAATGCTAACTCTGAAGGCATTGATAGTACACTGGTTCTCCTGAAGCACTTTGTGAATTTCAAATTCACAAAGTGCTTCAGGATTAATGAGCTAATGAAATAGAGATGCTTAGATCTAAAACTGATAATTTTTAAACGTTAAGCTTAATTTCTTACTTTTCTTGTGGAGAGCAGCCCTTTGCTGACTTTTGACTAGTGTAAGCTCTTGGATGAGACATCATCATGAACACAAATCATAAAAAATGCTGGTGAGGATGCGGGGGAAAAGAACACTGGTGGGATTGTAAATTGGTACTACCTCTATGGGAAATCAGTATGGAGATTCCTCAAAAGATTAGAAATGAGGGTCTGGGGATGTGGCTTAGTGGCAGAGTGCTTGCCTAGCATGCATGAGACCCTGGGTTCAATCCCCAGCACTGCCAAAAGAAAAAAACAAAACAAAACTAAAAGACTAGGAATGGAACCACTATATGATCCAGCAATAATCACTTCTCAGCATTTTCCCCCTAAAAAGTCAGCATACTGTGTATATTCATGTTTACAATTCACAATGACCAAAGTTATGAAACCAGGCTAGATGTCAATCAACAGATAGAGAGATAAAGAAAATGTTATATATACAATGGAGTTTTATTCAGCCGTAAAGAACAACAAAATGATATCATTTGCAGGGAAATGGATGGAACTGGACAGCACAGTGTTAAGCGAAATAAGCCAGAAAGTCAAGGATTGTATGTTATCTCTCATATGTGGAATCTAGAGAGAAAAAGTATTTTATAAAAGGAACCTCAGGGGCTCCGGGTGTGGCTCAGTGGTAGAGCACTTGCCTGGTATGTGTGAGGCCCTGGGTTTTATTCCCTGTACCACCAAAAAAAAAAGAAAAAAACAAAAGGAACCTCAGGAAAATAGAAGGGAGACCAGTAGAGTTGAGGAAGGAGATCAGGGTAAGGGAGATGGAGAAGAATAGGGCAGGTGCTAGGGAGTGAAATTGATCAAATTATGTTATGTGCATGTACAAATAAGTAATGATGAATCCCACTATTATGTATATAATCATAATCACCAATTAAAACTTTTTAAAAGGTTTAATCTGTCTGTTTCCACAGTACACAACCTTAACAAATACAGCAGTTAGAGTACTATTATAATGGAAAAAACAAAATATAAATATATATCACTTCAATAATTCTGTCTGAACAAGATCCCAGGTAGTATTCTACTGAGGTTTATTTATTTGGGAATTTTTCTGTTTTTGTTTGTTCATTTGTTTTCGTATTGAGGATTTATTCCAGGGACACTTTACCACTGAGCTACATTCCTGGTCCTTTTTATTTTATTGGTTTTTTTGTTTGTTTGTTTTGAGACAGGATCTCTTACTAAATTGCTAAGGCTGGCCTTGAACTTAGAATTATCCTGCCTCAGACTTCTGAGTCCCTGGGATTCCATGTGTATAACACCTAGCTCAGCTCTTTTTGATTTTTTAAATAATAGGCACTATGTTATGTATAGCTATAAAGTTACCTCTTAAAACCACCTTCATTGTGTCTCAGAGATCCTGATATATTGACTCTCTATTCTTATTTGATTCTAAAAATTTTAAAATTTCTCCCTTATTTCCTCTATATCTAGTCATTGTTCAAAAGTATATTATTCTTTCTCTATGTATTTATGTAATTCCTACATTTTTCTTTCTGTTGATTTCTAATTTTATTCTATTATCATCTAATAAGATACAAGCAATTATATAATTTTTAGTATTTACTGAGACTTGTTTTGTATCCTAAAATATCATCTATTTTGGAGAAGTTTCCATAAGCAGCTGAGAAGAAAGTAAGTTGAACTATTGTTGGTTGAAATACTCTATAAATGTCTGTTAGTTCCCATTTGATTGATAATATTTTTTAGGCCTGAAGAGTCTTTACTGATTTTGTGTCTGGATTACCTATCTGTAAGAGAAATGTGATGAAATTGCCTAGTTTTATTGTATTGGGATCCATCTGAGTCTTTTTTTTTCTTTGTTAAAATTTGTTCCATGGGTCTGGAGTTGTGGCTCAGTGGTAAAGCACTTGCCTAGCATGTATGAGGCACTGGGTTCAATTCTAAGCACCACATATAAACAAATAAAATAAAGGTCCATTGACAACAACAAAAAAAAACAATAATTTTTTTTCTTTTTTTTTGTACATGACAGTAGAGTGTATATTGACATATTATACACACATGGAGTATAATGTATTCTAATTGGGATCCCATTCTTGTGGTTTATAGGATGTGAAATTTCACTGGTGGTGAGAAATACTATATTCTTTCTTTCTTTGCAATATTTCAGTACTTTTTTTGCATTTTTATTTGTTCTTTTCAGTTTTATATGAAAGTAGCCATTTGAGTCTTTATATGAGTAGTATTTTTAATATAATTAGATGCACTGACATTTGGGGATTAGATACTGTCATTATTTCATGTTATTGGATTATTTCCTTTACCAGTATGAAGTGACCTTCTTTGTGTCTTACGATTAATTTTGGCTTGAAGTCTTTTTTGTCAGATTTGAGAGTAGCTACACCTGCTTGCTTTCTGTCTCCATTTGTATGGAATATATTTTTCTATCCTTTCCCTGTGGGATAACTTTGAAACACCTGTGGATATCTTTGCCTGTAAGGTGAATCTCTTGCAAACAACATATATTTTGGTCTTGTTTTTTAATCTACTCTGTCCAGACTAGCTAAATTAAATAATAAAAATCATCTGACAATTAGCTCTTATATTTAAAGAAGTGAAAAATGACTGAGCTTCTTTTTAAAAAAATTTTATCTGTTCTTTTTTCTATGACTGAGCTTCTGATAGGCAGGATCCAGAGTGGCCCCAAACTTTTGAGAAAGATAAAGGATCTCAGTTTGGGAGCTTGGGTTGTAGGTCTCTAACCCTGAATTTACTATAACAGGGAATAGGGCAACTAAGTGCATTGTAAGGAAGTTAGACACCACAGATTGTGTGAGGTTGTTATACTATCCTATTTTTAAACATTGGAAACTATTTAAAAGGGGGGTAAAAAAGCTCTCATGATTAACATACCTTAAAAAACTATTTGTTGCCATTTACATTTTCTTTTTCTTATGAGCATTTTAAACATTATGGTTTTTATATATAATTGCCCTCTAACATGATATGTATATATTTTTTCTCAAGATTCTATACTCTTCATAATCATTGCTCTTAGTAAGTTTAAGACAGTCAATTGAGTTAAGTATCCCAGTGTGTTTATCTAATCCCCTCTTTGTTTTTTGGTTTGAGGGTTTTGGGGAAATAGATCATCAATCACATTACAAAAAAATTTATCTTCATTTGGGTGACTTTTTTTTAATAATTTAGATTATCTTCTTAGGTTCTTAGAAATTGAATTATTAGGTTAAAGTATTAACTTTATTTCTGACCCTTGATAAATATTAGTAGGTTAATCTTCCAGAGTTAAGTCCTTGGACCCACTGAGTGAGTTTCTAAATAATCTCTCTTGCTGTATGTTGAATCTGGATGATTTAACAATTTATACAGCCACCTATTAAATGACAGATGTTCTAAGATAAAAACATGCTTGTTGTCTTGTAAGAATATTTCTCTAATATTTCTCTAATATGTTTTCATCAACAAATAATTCTGTATTTTATGCAAAATAGAACATTAAATTTTAATCACTATGAACTGTAAAAAATGATGACAATTAAGATATAGAGTAAAATAAAAATAAGCTTAACTTGCTTCTTAAGATATCTAAATCTGCAGTTTGTTGACTTTTTTGGAGTGGGGGGTACTGGGAATTGAACTCAGGGGCACTCAACCACTGAGCCATATTCCCAGCCCTTTTTTAATTTTATTTAGACACAGGGTCTCACTGAGTTGCTTAGCGCCTTACCTTGCCATTGCTGAGGCTGGCTTTGAACTCGTGATCCTCCTGCCTCAGCCTCCTGAGCTGCTGGGTTTAAAGGCTTGCATTCCTGTGCCTAGCTTATTTGTTTATTTTTATGTGGTGGTTTATTTTTATGTGGATCAAACCCAGTACCTCAAACATGCTAGGCAAGTGCTGTACCACTGAGCTACAGCCCTAGCCCAAGGCTTTAATTCTTTTAACCCCTTAGATGCTCGAGCCGAAAATTTTAGAAAAATCACTTTCTTTCAGAGCCTTTTAAAATAAATGCAACCTAACATCTGCCATGGAAATTGACATTGTTTTCTTTTGCTTCTAGGATATTTTGGAAATCCATCTAGAAATATACAGATACCACAATCAGTAATGGAGGTGGCAAGAGCCAAGCCTCGCCCAGAGCTGTCAGCCAGATACCTTATTCGCAACCTGTTCACAGAAGAAGTGCTGATCAGAAGTAATGTCTATGGCAGTGTGGGGCGTGGCATGTGTGCCCTTAACCCCAATAGGATTAATGCTCTCCGAGGTTAGTTACATGTAGAGTGTTAGAATGTGAGTCACTTGTGTTAGAGAAGAAGGTCAGCAAGAATCCATTCAGTTTGTATATGTTTTAAAGAGAGATGGAGCTTGTCCAAAGTACCTCGTTAGGTAACAAAAGGTTCATGAATTGTATTTCTCTTTGCCTTTGTGTTCTTAGGGCTAATTGCCTTGCCTTAAATGGCTCTACTAGTACAGGAAAGGGGTTATTGACTTAATTCCCTGCTCTGGCTTGCCAGGGATGTAGATACTCAAACACCTTCATTAACTGGGGCTCAAGGCTGAAGCTAGGGCTGGAAATGATACCTCAGTGGTACAGTACTTGCCTAGCACGTGCAAAGCCCTGGTTTCCCTTCCCAGCACCACAAAAATGTGTGTGTGTGTGTGTGTGTGTGTGTGTGTGAAAGCTGAAAAGTTTCATCTTTTTCAAATTACAGAAGTGTCAACAATACCACAATAGGCTAATTTGCTATTTTTTTCCTAGTATATGTTAGCATAGTGTAGTCTCTGTGACATATATAAAAGAAGTAAGAAAGCTTCCAAAATCATTTCTGTGGAATCTTAAATTTGGACAAAACAGGAAGCAAAATATTTCTTATTTGTGTCACTGGTACCCAGCAAAGCATAGCTCTGAACCCCACCTGATCTCATTTGGTTCCTTCCTCATACCACACAATTTTTCATATCCAGCACATTGGAACAACACTGGTGTTTTATTCCAAAGAAACGTGGATTACAGCTCCTTTTGTTGTCATCTGACCTGTTTTTTTTTTTTTTTTTAACCTTTAAAAGACTTAATGTTTGGCTGTGGCTGTGGCTCAGTGGTAAAGCACTTGCCTAGCATGTGTGAGGCACTGGGTTCAATCCTCAGCACCACCTAAATAAAATAAAGGTATTGTGTTCATCTACAACTAAAACAATATATTTTTAAAAAATTAATGCAACCCATAGTAAGAAATACATCTAACATGGTGACTCAGTACATATGTGTGTATATATGTGTGGTTTTTTGTTTTTTTTTTTAAATGAAGCAAAAGTTTCAGAAGCAATACTTACTCTTTTCATGAGAGTTGCATTCCAGTGTTTTCTGTTCTATTACATTTCTTTAAAAAGCACTACTGTCATTGATTTTATAACCCAGTAATTGTTTACAACTTATAATTGAACATCACTGAGCTGACCTACCAGAAAAAAAATCCCAAATCCAGTTCCTCTTATCTTAAGGTAAAAAATGGGTTTTAGCTAATTTGGAAGGTAATGTGTTTATAGATGATATAGTGTCTTTCTAATTAAACATTTCTGGTACTGGAGATTAAACCTAGGTGTGGATTAATTTTGAGACAGGGTCTTGCTGAATTGCTGAGGCTGGCCTCGAACTTGGGATCCTCCTGCTTGAGTCTCTTTGATTACAGGCATGTGCCACTGCATTTGGAATCTAATTAAATATTTTTAATGTGAGGGAAAAATGTGACTTTAAAAGTACTTTAATATCTGTAATTTTTAAAAAAAAATTGATGAAAAACATTTCTTTGTGTATTTCATCATCTCTTATTGAATTTTATTAAAATCAAGATGTCTCCTGCAATAAAAAATATTCAGCAGGAATTTGACGTACTGTTCACATAGGGCATATATTAACAGATTTCCCATAAAAGTCAAAACTTCTATTGCTTTGTAGAAGGTCAGTCACGTGAGTTATTTCAGCAGAAAGAAAACAGTGGAATCATTGTTGTCCCTAGGGCAAAGCCAGTCCCAAAGATTGGAAGCAAACAAGAAAGCATATTTCACTTTAATGTAAGTATAAAATGAACTTGGAGAACTGAAAGAGTCAGAACAAAGGTTGAGTGACCAGAGATGAGAAGAGATGCCTGCACTAGAGGAAGGCCTGAGCTTATGGCTTCTGATGTAATCTATGAAAATATCACTTCATCATAAACTATTTCAAACACCCTGAGATGTACAGAGAAGAATGTAATAATATAATCAATCCTTGTGTACCCATTGCCAATATAGACATTTTAAAAATAATTAAGCTTTATAATTAAGACTCCAAGCCCATCATCCCTGTTCCTTCTCTTCCTCCCCAGAAGTAATCACAGCCCTGCAGTTGGAAATATCATTCTCATGCTACCTATGTTAATAGAGCCATAAATGATATATAATATTCTGTATTTGTTTTGATGTATATAACTGGAGATATACAGTGTGTATTCTTTTGCATATTTTAAATCATTCAACATTTATGTTTTAGAGACCTGTTCATACATTTTAACTGATGATCAATATCCCATTGAGTGAATAAACCAATTTATTCTTCTATTCTAATAATATTTCTTATCCTAAGATTTTGATATCTTGGGGGAACATGGTAGTCAAAGGTAACTGTGTCCACTAGTCATAGATTTTTTTAAGGAACTGTGTCATGAGAGATTCAGTACCACCTGAGGACTCTAGAGAATAGTTGATATGGAGAGAGTAGGCTACAGATTTGCAATTGGGGAACAGCCCTCACTCCTTCCATGTCTGTGTATGATAGAACTGTAAAATCTTAGCAATAAGTACTTTATAGGCCCTTTAATACTACATCCCTCTCAGAGCAGGAATTCCCATAAGTCACACACATACCCTAGATATCGCTTCCAGAGCTCAGTAAAGTCAATCAAGTTACTTCACAAGCTGGGCCTTCAAGTAGTTAAAGACAGCTATTACTTCCTGCTGGAGTGTTGGGAGATAATATCCCCTCCCCCTTCATGCTCCTTCAAGTTCAAAACAAAGTGAGAGACAGATACTTAAATCAAGCAGGTGAAGATAAAAATAGCAGCTTGTATGATTTTTGAGTCTTGATTCTTGAATCATACAAGTCCAATTCTTCTAGACTTTCCAATGTGGAGATCTCTCCACATGGAATCATGAAGGTTGGAAAGGAGGTATTCTACTTAATCTTTTCCTTCTTAAGTCTTATGCCTTTATAGTTAAATATCACTGTTTCTTTCTGTAATTCTTTACCTAAATGTTTTCCTGATTCTTCATGATCAGATTCAGTAACAGCCTTCAAATGTGCTCAAATCAACCCAGAAACAGTAGCATTATTACCTATGAATCTTAAAATGGCATTTACTACTTTTAAATTTATGGTCACCTAAGACCCCTAGGTCTTTTTTTTTCTAAATAGTGACATTTACTCAGTATTTATATTGTTAGTATTTAGGCTGTTACCATTTACACTTTTTCTATGTTTAACCTAAGTATAGTATTTCAAAGTTATTTCTCTTACACTTTGTTCAATTAGGTCAGCTTAGGTCAGCATTCCCCAAACTGTGTTTCCTAAAGACAGCTGCATGTTAATGGATGTTTCATGAATAAAGTGCTTTTTAGTTAGATGGTCAGGAAAGACTTTAAACTGGCAAACTCCCCAAGGATCTAGTGGACCCTCAGTTTTGTTTTGTTTTGTTTTTTTGTACCCGGGATTGAACTCAGGGGCACTCAACCACTGAGCCACATCCTCAGCCCAATTTTGTATTTTATGTAGAGACAGGGTCTCACTGAATTACTTAGTGCCTTGCTTTTGCTGAGGCTGGTTTTTAGCTCCCAATCCACCTCCGTCAGCCTCCTGAGCTGCTGGGATTACAGGCATGTGCTACTGCCCCTGCTGGGCCCTCAGTTTTAAAGCATATTTTAAATTCCGTTGGCTGTCAAAGCCAGCAGGTCTCCCCAGTCCTGGCCCTCTGTTGTTTTATGCACTGACACCTCCCTCATTTGTGTGCCCCAGCAGCACAGCTGCACCTATAACCTTTCAATCAGTGAAAGTTGCTGCTGTGAGGCATCTTGACTGTGATTTTCCAGAGCATTTAATGTGCTCATGGGCAGTGTAAATCCCCAAGTGGGGACACTAACTCCAAAGCATCACATTCCCCATTTGCCCAATCAGAACCTTTTCCCCAAGAAACTTCTTTTTAGGACTTGTGTTTCAGAGAACACATTTTGGGAAACAGCAACCCATTTTGGCCCTTTGCCACCTGTAGTGAGCTTTGCAAGTACTGTATTTGTCTTCCAGTGTGTAAATTATCCATCCCAACTTTGCTGTTATAGGCACATGGGATAAGCCTTTCCCTAATGAGCCTGATACTGAATCTAGTGACCTACCAGCAAATCTTCCTTTTAGGCTACTATTGACCTATCAGATAGTCCTTTGGGTATGAAAGCCTTTTATTAAATTTGACACATGCCTTGCTAAAAAATTGGGATATGCTGTCTTAATGCATTGTTCTGATTTAGCAGCCAATTAATCTTATTGAAAACCAATTGAGATTTATGTCACCAACTAATGCCAACCTGTAGAGATCACTGGATTCTATCCTAAGTGCTCAAAGGCACTGAGGTAATTATCTAAAAATATCTAGGGCAACTCTGCTCTTCTAAATAAGCACCTCTTTTGTCTTTCCCTTTGTCTGTCCTCCCACTTATCTCTAAGAGTGCTCCTTGAATTGTATCACTCTCTCACCTTCTCTTATTCAAGTCTTCCTCTAATTGCAAGATCCCCAAAGCCTTATTCTTTTTATCAGAGATAAATCTAGCAGTAGCAAAAAAGTTAGCAGTTACAACTTCTTGTGTCTCCAAGACTGAAGACACCACAGCCTCTTGTGCATTACAAAATACCTTTATTTGAGAAAGTGGGATGTATGTTTGATATATTTAAGAATAAGGGCCAAACACTGTGGTGTATGCCTGTAATCATAGTGGCTTGGGAGGCTGAGGCAGGAGGATCTTGAGTTGAGAGTCAGCCGCAGCAACTTAGCAAGGCACTAATAAGCAACTTAGTGAGACCCTGTCTCAAAATTAAAAAAGGGCTGGGGATGTGGCTCAGTAGTTAAGTGCGACTGGGTTAAATCCGCAGTTTAAAAAATAAAAAAAGAATAAAACCTTGATCTTGGGTACTTAAAGCAGTAGAAGATTTCTATTTGTGTAGGTAGAGCAAGATCATGGGAGATTATTGTAAATGTGCTTTAAGGATAGTACTATTTTGTATTATCCCTTTAGATTAGAAGATCTGTTCAGCTTACTTAATAATAGTTGTAGTCCATTTGATTTAATTAGTGAAAGTCTTAAAAGACCCTCGGCTGGGGATAGCTCATTGGTAAAGTGCATTCTTAGCATGCATGAAATCCTGAGTTTGATTCCCAACACAAGAAAAGCAGTAGAATTAAGGGTGAATAAATGAATGAATTAATTTCTCTGAGCAGTGATTTTAAGTAATTGTTCTGTTTTGGAATTTTACTACCAGAGTTTCTCCAGGACAACTATAAGACATGTGATCTATCGGAAACTGGATATGATTGGAAGCTGTGTGTGACAGCCATCAACAGCTGTATCCGAAGTCTTAGACATGACTTCAAGAAGTCCACGGCCAAATCTCAGAAGTTTCCAGCAGTGGCTTCTTCCACAGAGTCAGAGCAAAGAGATTCTGACCTCACCGACTCAAGCACTTAAACATCAACCATCCCACTTTGTTTAAAATGTTAGATCTTTCTATAAGTTCCCCAAGTTATAATTCCCAAATTAGCCTATTATAGCAACAAAGTAGTTTTGCATTTATGCCTGAAAAAATGGCCAAGCTTTTTTTTCTGCCTGCAAGGGTTGCTGAATTGTAGTAGGAAGATATGAATGTTTTGTCTCCGGACAAAGTGATTGGCAATATGCTGCCACAAATCTCTGATTGAGGGAATAGTAGGAAACTTTTCCCTAAAAATCATTCTCTTTGCTGTTTGAATGCACAACAATAATAATATGCTTTAGCACTTAATGATAAGCAAAATCTGAGCATTAGTAAAGCACATATAGATAGGTAGGAAGCTATAGTTGGAGGTGTAAATCACAATTTGCTTAGTAAGTTTTTTGTAGTAGACATTCCGTATTTGCCAAGTGACTTGAAACTACAGAGCTTAGGTGTGAACTCTGCTGATTTAGAAGGGAGATATGGTTTAAATATGTACAAAACACCCAAAGTGGCTTTATTATATATCCATCAAAATCCTAGGATTGGTATCACATTTGTTTGACCTAAGCCTTCCAGAGACAAGACCCATGTTCTTTTGATTTACTTTTAATAAGAATAACATTCTTTTAATTATCATTGTTTTTTGTCAAAGAAGTTCACTCAAGGTGGGACTCTCTGTCTCCTCCTAAGTGATTTTAATTTAAGAATATGTCACTATGAACAATAAAAATCTAACCAAATTCAGACACTGACATTATTCTTCGTTTTCAAAGTGTCTGGGTGAAGGTTTTCGTATGTTTGTCATGTTTTACTGATAGATTCTACTATTTGGAGTGCATATGTCTTTAAATTTTAACAATGTTTAAATGAAAGAAAATATTGATCAGAAATTTAATTAGATAAAAGTGATCTTTAAGGATATTGGTGGGACTATTGGAAATTTTTTAAAATTTCATTTTACTCATGAAGGGCTTTATTTTTAACCTAAATCCCTTATTTTGAAGAAAATTCTTTTTAAATTTTGAAATAGGGTCTTGCTAAATTGCTGAGGGTCTTGCTAAGTTGATGAGGCTGGCCTTGAACTTGGCGATCCTCTGCCTTGGCTCTCCAACTCTTTGGAATTATAGGTGTGTGCCACTGCACTTGGCCCTAAGAAAATTCTGGAATGTCATAGTCATAGGAAGTATGTGTAATTTCATTGTTTAAGAAATATTTTGTCAATTGTAATGCTATCTTGAATCTTTCAGCCTAACAAGCAATTTTTTTCCTTGTAAGACTTAAACTAACTGACCTTAAGTAACTTCAGTTTTCTGATAAAATAGAGAAAGCAATTCAATAGAAATCATGTCCGCTAGTCACTCGGTCACATACTATAATTTGTGGGAAAATTGACATCTTATTTTTGTGATGTGAGATATTTTAAGATGCTTTTATGTGACTGATTTATAGAATTGTGCTTTCCTATGATACATCTTTTGAAAATTAAATTCAGTTTTTAGAATATTTTAGTGAAATACAGGGTAACTTTATGAAGATAAGATATAAAAGAATTATTTTAGGAGCCTGGGGAGATAGCTCAGTAGTATAGCACATACTTAGCATGAACAAGGACCTGGATTCAATCCCAGCACCCCTCACCAGAAGAAAAGATTTATTTTTAAGGGTTTGTTCTCCCTTTTTTTCCCCCAGTGGTGGGGATATAAAGTTATTATTTATCAATTAAAAGTAAAATTATTCATTTGGCAGGAATAAATTTCAAATTGTAAGTTCAGATTTCAAATTGAAGTTGTATTTTTTGGTAGCTGAAGTATTCCTCAGACTAGAAGCAAAGCCACAAAAACAAAATTTTACATTTGCAAACATTTTTCAAGATTTATGTGATTAGATCTATTATGGTGACTGCTTGTGTAAGTTACTTAGAGCAGCCCTGTCCAATAGAACTTTCCACAAAAATGGAAACATATATAATGAGAAACTAAAAATTAAATAAATTTACATTATACAGTGTGGTAGTCAGCAGGCACATGCAGCTATTGAGCACCTGAGACGTGGCTGATGAGAGGAACTAAGTTTAAAGTTTTATTCAATCTTAACTAACCGAAGTTTAAAATTAAATACACAATAAATTTACAATTAAAAAGTGGCTGTGTTGAATGGCACAGTTTAAAATACCCTTTATTTTAGTTTTTAAAAATTATTTTTGTGATACTGGGGTGGAACCCAGGGCCTTGCATATTCTAGGCAAGCACTGCATCACTGAGCTATATTCCTAATCCCAATAATGCCCTTTATTTGGAAAAAAAAGTGTTCAAAACAGTTCCCATGATTTGAAACATAATGATCATGTAACATCTTTTAGAATGACATTTGATTGAGCAAAACAAATTTCATAATGATATTTTCATTTTATTTTAAATTAAATTGGACCCTCAATGTCTTCAAAAATTTTTAGGTTAATCCTGTTATTGTGTTAGCCCAATAAATGTCTATTAATATGACTTGCTTTTGATGAATACACTTATCTTCAACATTTGTCTTTCAAATAAATATCATCAATAAACATTTGAATTGCTCTTTCTACTGATGCTTCAGTTTTTTAAAAATGAGCTCATTTCATGGAAGCTTTATGAATGTTATCTACAGTGTTTTTTATTAATAATATTTTCAGCCAATTTCATAGATGTGATACTAGCTAGAATGTTTGCTTTCTTTCTTGATAAGCAAGAACAAGCAAATTTTTATGACCTTTATTCTATGCTGAAAATAATCTGCCCATCTCCTGTGAGATGGACCAATTGGTAATCTCAAGGAATTAGTTAACCCATTAAGTCTCAAGTTTTCGATTCTGTGAATATATCAACAAGATCAACACAGGTACATAAATATTGCCAATCAATCTAGAGCTTATGTATGATATTAATTAATATATATAAATACATTCTTATTATAATATTATTTCATAGTGTATAATTGTCTATTATATACTATAAGTTTTTATAGGTGTTCCACATCTGGAAGGATGGGACTAAATGGGGTTTAAAATCATATGGAAGGTCACTGGGTGATAGGTACAAATCTCAGTGTACAGACACAGGTGGGCTGGAAGTATAACTTTAGTTTTCTGTAACAACTTAATTTCTATTTTGAGGATCCATGCACTGGGAGTAGAAACTTAACCTTGGTCATTTGAGGCTTTTGATTTCTCTTGGAAGACAAGGAAACAACCCATGGCATGGATGGAGGTAGGTTTGGTAGAATAGCAGTGGATGAGTGATTTCATCTTCTCCATACTTGCTTCGAAGTTTTAGGGATCTTATACAATGCCAAACTGTGTAGAGGTTTTAGAGTCAGATTCTTATCATTTTCCTTAGCCATCATCAGCTGAGATGTACCTTTGTCCCATGTGGTCTTTAGCCACTCACCAAAAGCCATTCTTATATTCCTGGCCTGAGCCATTTGGATTGAGTGGCTTTCACCTCTGTTCCTTCCAAGATCCTCTCAGGCTCATTGGAATCATTTTGCTGTTGCTTCATTATATTTCAAGAAATGGGTTTTGTGCCATTCTCTGTATATCATATTTCCACACAGGACTGGCTACATAATTTGCAGGCCCAGTACGAAATAGTTAATTTTCTCTTGATATTATTTAAATGTTTATTTTTTCACTTTTTACTTGGGAATAAGTTTGTACTTAAAGAATAGTTGCAGAAATGGTACAGCGAGTTCCCATATATACTTCATTCAGCTTTCCCTGATGTTACCAACTTATATAACCATGGCACAATGATCAGCACTCAGAACTTAAACTTGGGTACAATACTGTTAAGTCTAGACTACCTCTGTGTTTCACCAGGTTTTCTACTAACATTCCTTTTCTGCTTCTAGTATTCAATCCAAAATTCTATGTGGCGTTTAGTTGTCATATCTCCTCAGACTCCCCAAATCTGATAGTTCCTTGGTTTTTCCTAACCTTGACAATTCAGAAGAATACGGATTAGTTTTTCTGTAGAATGTCCCTTCATTTGGGTTCATCCTTTTTCTCTTGATTAGATTGTGGAGATGCATTCTTAGAAAGAACCTCCAAGAGATGGTGTGCTTTTCTCAGTATTACAATTATTTAATAGAACAGTTAATGAGAAAGTTTAGTAGTTTTTACAAAATCATAGTCACTAGCACTAAAGCCAGGACTAGACCTCAAGTGTCACTTTTATGCTAGGATTATCCATTGGTTAGGGTAATTAATTATAGGTTAGGTTACCACTAACCAATAAGTCCCTTTGTACAATTTTCCAGTACCAATGAATTATTCAGCAGCTGTCTTCTAGGACTGTGACTTCTTTGGCTGCAGTACAACACATTTTGGTTGCAGCAAAGCAAGGCTGGGCAGTAGACAGAAATTCTGGAGGAAATAAAGGGGTTTTAGACACTATGAAGTTAAGTGCTTGCTCAATATCCCTGCTGCTTTCTGAATGGTGATGATAGTCACCACTTATTAAGCCCTGCTGTGTGCAGGCACTGGGTTTTCTGTGCGGGCTGGTCTACCTGACCTTTACTCAGCATTATCACTCTTCCCTTCTGGAATCTCTGCTTTGCAGATGAAAAGATGAGAAGCACATTCCTCCAGGTCCATCGCAGTAGAGTTCTTGTTTAAACAAGTTTGCAATGAGAGAAACCTGCATGAAATTTGAAGGCAGAAAAGATAAAGCCATTTTTTTTTCCACAGCCAGACCCATGGGCAGATTGTGAGATTCATGGAAACTTCCTGAGGAGCTTATGGGAATCACATTTCACAGTTGTGCATAGGGGTAGAGATAGGGTGAGGGAATTTTCAGAGATTTTTGAGATCTTCAGCGGCTTTCGCGGAAGTTTTTGAGGATTTTTCACTTTGGTGCTGCAAGCTGTCTCCACCGTCTATTTTCTTCATCTGTGGTGAAATTTTTACAAAATCATAAGGTCAAAATTTGACCTTATCCTTCCTATCCCTTAACAGTCCTGCAAACAGCTAATTCCTTTGCTAAAACCTTTTATACCTGGTATGCCTAGCATGGCTTCTGTTTTCCCGACTTGTGGGAAGCCTTCTGTAAATTGCATGAGGGTCTTCTCTGGGCATGGAAGCCAGGGAGATTTAGGTTTGGTGGAACTATCTGTGGCTCTCCCACAGCAGTAGATTGCCCAATGCACGTGACCTTTATCTCCACTCGGCTAGGAAGATCCCTCATAGTAGCTCCAGAGATGGGCGTAACCCATTGGGAACTGGACAGCCCAACTTTAACCTTTTTTGGTGAAGAACATTCTATGGAAGGCCTTTCCAGATATAAATAAAGCAGGCGTGGGCTCCATTTTGCCATAGTCTAGAAGCTTGATCCATCTGATTGACTTGCCCATCCTGCCCAGCTTTTGAAACTACTTTCTGTGTTCTGTGGTTCTTTTGCTGTTCTATTTTTCCTAGCTTTTATTTCTCAGCCGGCCCATTCCACCGAGGGGAACCCCATTTCCACCGCACCAACTGACCCCTCACACAATGTAAAGTGTCAGTGCATTTGATTCTCTCACCACCCTTGGTGTTGGTGCCATTAGAAATCGAAGGACTCATGAGTCGATTGTGCCCATATGCACTGATGAGCAGTTTAATGAATATTTTACTTATTAGCAATAAAGCTGAACAGCTTTGTTAACAGAACATAAGTGCTTATGTGAGAAGATCAAAACTTAATTTCTTTTTTTCCTTTTACCTTTCAAATATAAAAGCCTCTTTCCATATGAAAGCACTTCCAGGCACTCTGAAAGCATTCAGAAATCATAACCCGAGGACCAGAAATGGATACATTCCCTTTCTTCCAGTTGGTGGTATTAGAGCCTTAACATCACTTACTTGCTTAATTATTTATTTTTGCTGCTAACTTGTGCTTCCTGAGAGCAAAGATTGTCTTTGGTGCCTACCACAGTGGTCTGGAATAGTAGGTGCCCAATAAACAAAGGCATTCCTCATTACCCTACCTTGTCATGTCTGAAATTCTGTCTTAAGTTTTATTTCTTTGATTTGAGCCTAATTTGACCTTTTCCTTAGAAAAATAATGTAATTTCTGTCTATGCATCCCTTATGCCTTCATTAAGTTAAATCCATTCCTCAAAGTTGGTTTGATTTGGAATATGAAGAGGGCATAAGTACTGCTTAGTCTTCAGAGAGCCTTTTACACAAAGATAAATGTGTAATAAGGGCCACAACATCCTCTGTAAAAGGGAGAAAATGGAAACAATGTGCTAATGCTTTTTACAAAGAGGTAAAATCATGATGTACAAATATAAAATGAACATAAATTAGAGATTTGATTTAATTCCTTACTAATGAGGGAGTGGTAAGATGTTACAACCATTTCAAAGGACAATTCAAAGCTCAGACACACGTATAAATCAGGAATATTAAAACGAATGTGCAAATGGAAGCAAAATTGGCTTCTTCCACAGTGGGGGAAGGAAGTTAATTGAATCTCTACCAGACAGAATTTATTTGCATGTCTATAGATGCATTTCTATCAGTTATATACAATTTACAGAATCAAAAAATGGTTCAAAGATGATGAAGGCTGCAGAATCAGAATCAGCTAATCCAGAACCTCGAAATATGTGCTCTAAATA